TCTGCAGAGTCCAGGAACCAAGCAACAAGAATTCATTCTGATCTGAACCTCTAAGGAAGAAACATCCTCTTTACTTGTGTCTTGTGAATATATGTGAAAACACCTTCGTCCGTTATACTCCGTACCACATCCACGAAAACCGAAAATATACTAGTGTGTTACAATCGTACGACTACACCGTTTCACTCCGTCGTCCGATTTCATCGCCACACACTTACTGTACTGTATTGCCTCACGCATGTAGTACAGTATTATACTGCGCAAGAGCAGATGTACAGCACTATTCTGTATAAAAATGTACTGTACCGCAAACGTGGATCCCCCAACTTAAGAAATATCAAGTCATATTCTTTCTTTCATGCAAGTGCATGAATAAAGAAAATTCCTATTGTACTGTATGTGTCGTTTGCTATTGTTGCTTATGTACATAAACCCACAAAATTTGCGAATTCCAAATAATTAGGGATAGAATAAAACCATTGATATCCACCAGAGAGAATATTTGCTGGTGCTGGGCCAGATTTTCTTCTACATTTTTTCACTATTCCTTTGTGAAATATAATTTTATGTTAATGAGTTGCAATATTTACAGTTTATTGTGTTCACAGATGCTAAGATATTTATACAGCAGTAAATTTTTATGCTGAATGGAATTGATTTTCTTATCGCGTCTATAGCTCAAAGATAGCCATCTTGTAAACCCACCAGTCCACTTTGGGCAACTGATGGAATCGCTCCTTCAAAATTTCCCTACTTTATTCTCTGATGTACAAAATATGGTGATGAGTATTTTGTAGTGATAAATATCTGTAGCACTGCGATAAGCTTCAAATACTCTTATTTTTTGGGCTTCAATACCAATAAGAAAAATATACAGTACAATGAGCAGTGTGCATGTTGGATTCCACGATTTCCAAGAATGTTCATAGAAATTGTGCAACAATTCGAAAAATATATTTTATTCTAACAAACGGTACAGAAAAAATGCAGGAAATAATTTCTCACTGGACAGGAGGAAGCTTGAACATGTTATTGGAAAAGAAAAGCTCCTGACTTCGCACTTTGGTAAGAAGATACTCCTTCAATTCGTCCAATGAACATTCTTCCGCGGACGCTTCTTGCATAGCGAACATTTTCAACATCGAATGTATCCGATTCAGCGGCAAAGTCTTCAAATTTTTCAGCATCCCGACGATGTAAGACCAAAACGCGTCCATCTTCGACTTGGTCGTTTCAGCTTCACATTCCCGCGCAACCTCGTCATCATTATCATAGTACGCGATCGTCGGTATGGAAGCGAAACATTCCTTATCTGCATGGATCCATTCATCTTCGGTTTCAAACTGAACAAAGTAATCCGGCTTTGTTTCTCGAATAACGCGGTGGGCTTGCCAGAATCGTATTTTTCGCTTCAAATACGACGGGGCAATTTTTAGTTCACTACTCAGATCATCGAGAGTCCACGCGTTTTTCTCCTGAAAAATAGTTCATACATCATTTGACGTGAAATACGAGAAAAAAAATTGTATTGAACCGAACGCTGACCTGGAAGTGCAATATTATGCTGGCCATGATAGGAGGCACCTTCAAACTCAAAACTCGATCTTGAAGCTCCACACGAATCTCCACCTCTCCCATATGCGGATCCCAAATCAATGTTCTATTTCCTTTCAGCGTTTCGAATGCGACTCGATAATGGTCGAACTCCTGCGTACAAGTTGAAGTAGAAATTATTGAAAGTTCAGGAAAGTATTTATTCACCGAGTTGTCAAGAAAAAAAAAAATTCACAAAACATTATTTTCGAGCACGAAGTCAATACAAGGCCCGACTTTGATAGAAGACATATTCCTGAAAATATGAAACTCATATTGCTTTCACACATACAAATCACAGTACAAAACCCTGAACAAAAATCTTAAAAAGGAAAGACAAATGTATGAAGTTAACCGATGCCACACCTTCGCATCCTGAATAAAAAATTCACTCTACTGCAGTGTTCCCCAACCTTTTTGGTCCAGCGGACCAGCAGATTTCCATAAAATTGTTTTCACACCGGCAAAGTTTCATGAAATTTTCTGAGGACCAGCAAATTTTCCCAACATGTTTTCAAGCTCAAAAAAATTTTGCATGGGAGACAGCCTGAATGGCAGGTACTGTATTTGAAAAGCTTCTGCTTTTTTTGCTGTTGCAAAAATTAAGTCAAGTACCAATGAAGCAGCTATAGTGGGATATCTTCAAAAAAATGGAAAGGTGGGCTTGAATAAAGGTTTTACAGACTCAAAAGTTGAAATAATTTATTCTATCAGGTAAAATCGTGTCTCAAGTATTATTATAAGAGAAATGTCAAGATATATTTTTCATGAGATAATTTCAACTGCCATTGTCTCGCCACATTTTAAAATGAAGATACGTCCTTCATTGCTACTTTTGAAAAAATTCATCAACCTGAAAAAATTGGGGAACACTGCTCTACTGTATTCTCATTCACGACGTGGTGGACGAAAATATTTGCTAAAATTCAAAATTAGTTCCAAACCTAAACGTGTAGCACAGTACGCGTTTTTCAATTGAAATTTAAAATTAACCCAACGGAGGTTTTCAGCATTCGTATTTTCAATTTCAGTAGAACCGAACCGAAACGTTTCTGTCTACCCTGCATTTACACGGTAGGATAAAGAACCCACCAATGATAAAAAAAAATATATATACAAAAACTGAACACACCGTAATGCCTGTTATCTTTCGAGAAACAAAAAAATTGTTCTGAAATGCAGCAACCAGATGTTCCACTTAATTTTTCGACATTGAATGGTTCGGAAACGTTCTCAAAAACGATGAAGAAAGCTAACCGTCATCACGCAGGAAGGAAGCTCGAACGTCTCCCCACGGTAAATGTTAGGCCAGAACTGGACAGATCGCACCAAGGTCAGCATTTGGAACGCAGGTTGCGACGTCGCACTCTCCTGTTCAATCATGGAAGCTAACCGCAACGATTTGTTTACATCGGTTAGCATAACCTCACAGTTCTGGAAAAATGCTTCTCCGAATCTAGACGAACAAAAAAAGAGGACGAAATAATATGAGGCGGATCAGGAATCAAACAAATTCTCGATTTACCTCATTTTGAGGAATTCTTTGCAGCGAATCTCGCAATCCAGGTTCAAGTTGAAGCTGTCGATGATCCTCTCGGCAAGAATTTTTCTATACTCCTGAATGAACACGCGTCTGCTGCCGTATATGTTGACAAGCATTGAGATTATGTCTGCGTGTCGACTGGCCTTCGATTGGAATTCTGCAGGGGAAAAAATACGCTCACAATTTAAAAGCATAATTTCAGCGATAAACAGCTGAATTTTTTTTGTGAATTCAAGATATTTCATATCGAATAAATATTCCTTCATACTAGTTTCTTCAAGAATACGTGAAGGAAGTATCCACGGTATCAGCCATTCCACACAGTTTCACATTAACCAATCAAGGAAATTTTCAGGAGCTCGGAAATAATTCGTTATTCCATTTAGCTTCATATACTCAGTACTGCACCCGAATTTACTCGAATACCACGCGCAACTTTTCTTTTAAAATCAAAATTGAGAGGAAAAAATGGGTGGGCGTCATAGGCGGATAGAATTATTATTTTTTTCTAATTCAGGTGTGCATTGTACAGTATTTGAATCTAATGGGAAATTTTAGATATATTTCAACAGAAAACCTGATTTTAATGGATATAATTGAATTCAGGATAAATTCAACGAAAATGGGGTGCGCCCTTGGAAATTCATTGGAAATTCAATTTTATAAAAAAATTTTGAAGGAAAAACCCAGGTGCGCGTGCCTCTCTACTCGAGTTCTTTACCAGAGCAAAAAGGGTGAATACAGTATATTTCACGGAAAACAAGAACCCACTGGAAAGGTTCAAGTCCATCAACCCTGACACAAATTCACCCTCACTCACATTACGCAATCGTGTGTACGGGGAATTATCATCAAGAAATTCCTCAGTTGGACGAATGGAAAACCATAACTAACTGATTGACTGACTAACCTGGTTGCACATCCCAGGTATCCGGTTCCCAATCCTCCCAGTCCCCTTCCCTCATGGAGCTGTCGAACCTGGGTGCAGAGTTCTCGTCTTCCAGCTCTCCCACGGCGTAATCCGAATCCCCGCCATCCTCGTCCCAATCTTCCGCATGAACAGCAGGGTTCAATCCGGAAAGCGTCAATTCGTCCGCCAATCCCCCGCTCTTGGAATCCGTCAAGCTGACCACAATAGTTTTGACGGTGTCGTTGCGGGTCATTAAATAATTTTTCATGGGACTACACGCCTCGAGGGCTAAAACACCGGACGGGTCCAAGTAACGAAGCGCCTTCAGGGCAGAGACGTAAGCAGTTAGTATGTCGTGTGTCGCTACTCCTGGTTGCAGAAGCTTGTCCGAAAGAACTGTTTTCAGGGAATCGACGAATCTGCGTTTGTACGATGAACCCAGGTGCACGAATGCTGCTTTCAGATCGTCCAAAATGCCAGCGGATTCCGGAAATTCTACAAAGAAAAAAAATCACCGCATTTGCTAGGCAACCATGTTTCGCTTCCTGCACGCAGGCAAATTTAAATTAAACTATAAAAAATATTATTGTAATTCCAGGAAACCTGGAAAAGTTTTCCCCTCCCCAAAATCACACTACCTGATGCTGCAATATCTTTGACTTCAACTTATAAGCCAATCAAAAGCCTCTAAACATTGGACAGTAATCGTTCATAGTACTGGACTCCAGATAAGGAATAAAAATTAATAAGAACTACAATTTCTCTCTCTTTTAATTATATCAGTATAAATTTGCACATCGTTGTGTAAAGAGTGTTCAAAGTTTGCTGATACGCTGTTATTTTTCTGTGCGTCAATATTACCTTTGTTGGGACTAACAAGATAATACTTCAACTCTGATAAGATATCCTCAAGGGATTCCCTGCCTTCTCCCAGGCTGATTGACTTGTTTTAATTCATTTGCTGGTTTACTACTTGAAAGATCAATTTATTCACAATTTATGTTGAGGAAACCTTGCATCCCCAACAACATCACTGCGAAAATAAATTCACAAGTTCGTTAGCTTCATGATTTTTGCATGAATGAAGATGAACTCAATTCTTAAACATCAATATTTGATTTTTTTCCTGACGACTGTTCCAATCTTCAATTTCATATTGAGAAGCAAAAACACACTTGAGATGTTAAAGCGATTTACTCTATTACACAGAGAAAATGAAGTTCACCCTACATAATAAAATTTTCGTCAATTTCAAGTCCAAACTCAAAGCACAACCAAGTTTTTTTAATATTGTACTGTAATTGAAATATTCCCTTAGTACATGACACTTTCCGAGATTTCATTCCTTCTTAGAAAACAGTGCTGATTATAAATACAAATTTTAGAACTGCAGATTCTAAATCTGACGGTTACCCCAGAATATTGATTGCCAAAAAAATACGAGATGAATCTCACCAACAATGATGTTGAAAATATTGCTGGTAACCACCACAAAAATTGAATGATACGCATATTCAATCAACTGTGCCTTCATGAACATCTTGATCCTGGTATTGGCTTGATGAGCACGTTCTTGAGCACAAGGCATCAGAAGATCTCGAATTTTCGTTGAAGTCAAAACATCCAAGGATGGCCAATAAACCGCATTCAACCAGTTCCCAACGATTGTTTCCAATGACTACCGACAAGATATTAATCGATCAATGGCGGCGTAAAAAAGATTCAAGTATTTTGAGAGTCGCGGCTTCAAAAGACGACACCGCATCATGAGAATTATTTGAAAGAAAGTTACAAACCTCCATCAGGGCTCCAGAGTGCTGCTGATTCTGCGCTTCTGCTATCAATTCTTTCACCTTCGCTCGGATTTTTGCTTTCAAATGAGAAGACACGAAGTCTCCACCGAGACACTCGATCAGTTCCAAGTCTACCAAAAGGGCAGTGACTGCAAACGAAATCGGCGAAGGAATTAGGTTCAACGATCCAGCAAAGGGTTCCACCGTGAATATATACGGATACTGTATTCGATTACTCACCAACGCGGAAATCTTCAAGAATACACGCTTTACACGAGCAATCTTGATCTGAATCCATCACAGTACATGGAGCGTAAAAACTCGGATCCACTCCGGTGCAGTTGCAATCATCTAAAAAAATAAGGGATTTCAATAAAAATATGATCACATCACTCAGAAAAAAAAAACGGATGAATTACCTGCAAAATGAGAACAACACGCGGCAAATCCATACACAAATACTTCAGCCATGCAATCCCGGAATTTGTCTTGCAGCTTCGCGTGCAACGCTCCTTGAAACTCAATAATTATCTTCGAGAAACCTTCGCTGCCAAAAAAAAAAAAAAAAATCAATCAGCACGTCATTCAATCATCTGCGGAACAGAAACTGAAAAAAAAAAGAATTCTTGCTCACTGTACAAAACATTTCCCGACTCCTGGATTTCCCCGAAAATTCTCAAAACCGGTTGCGTTTGCCCGGCTTCCTCTTCGTTGATCAGCATCCAAGATTTGATATACGCGTGAACATCAGCCAATGCCCGTAGCATCGCTTTAACGCAGTTGAAACGGAGTTTCTGTTTTTTGGCTTCGCTGAAATCCTCGAAGACTCTCAGGATTAAGGGACAAACTTTTTCCATAAGGACAGTGCAGAATCTGGCTCTGGCGATTTCTTCCCTGATTGCATGCGGTTCTTGAGTGCGAACAAGAGGCATGTCTGTGTCTTGAATTGGCACTTTAGCATTGGATGTAGATGGCAGCACCGGACGTTGGTACAAATAACGCTTCCATTTGTCAACTGCATCGTCCGCATCAATGTGGTTCGCAACAACCTTGAATTTCAACGGTTATAAACTAGAATTTTAAAAACATTTATACAGTACAACAATAGCAGTAGAATAATTTTTCTTTTCCCGAAAATGATAAATAAAATACAGTAAAATGAACTTTCACAAGAAAACAATCCCACTAATGCGAGGGGTTGATCAAATATTTTCGCTCCACTTCCTTCAGAATCATAAATGAGGTTGATAAAACTAGTGCTAAGCCACCGTTAATTTGCAAAATACCAACTTGGGACACTCATAGCTTACAATTTAAAGTTTTCAGAGCCGCTTTTTCAAACAGCATTAGCAGCGCAAAAATGGGTCAGATCAGAACATCTTTCATCGGAACATGTTCGTCAGATTTAAGACATTATCCGGATTGTTCAATCGAGTTAAGACGGAAATTTGAAAAGTTTGAATACAAGTAACTTCGATAGTGAACCTCATTTCCTCACAGTGGTTGCGGTCATGTTTAAGTTTTCGCTGTTTTCTCTAGATTTCAATCGACGAAAATGAGAAGCCCTCCTGGATTGACCAATTATTATTGAAAAAAAAAAAAAAAACATCTGTTCATCCAAAATGCCTTCAAGAAACCAGAAGCACGACATCAAAAATGTGTAAACCAACTTTCATACTTTATCCGGAAAATAGACCTATAGACGTGTATGTCCTCACGCAGCAGAACTATCATAAAAATACGGTGTGCTGTACAATGATTATTTTGAAGACATGTTCAATAAACAGAATCGAGAATCCATGATTTGATATGCATAAAAGG